ACCTTCATGTTATCCACTGAAAATCTCGCCCCCAATGATGAAAACAAGCACTTACTGCCCTGCAAACTCCACCATCCACCGCGAAGGCATGAGGGCTCACTTGAATCCCATTCATCTTTGACTGTTTGAAATCATAAAGATCCAGTTTTATTCCACGAACAGCGTACTTTATATTTCATTTTCCAGGTCAGAAGCAATTCCATATTCCAAGCAAGAGAAAGCTCATGGCCTGCTGTGAGTCGGGTATAAACACCCTGAAGGCACAATTGCTTTCGCCACGTGAAACGGGACAATGAATACAGACCTTGCAGCCGTCAGCATTAACAGAGAAGAGGCCCGCCCAGGTAACTCCCTCATCAGACCTCCGAGCAGTTACTGAAGACCACCCAGCCAAAAGGCCTTTCCAGGGACCCATCCTGCTGGTGCTTTCGGGTCGAGTACAGACACACCACCTTGTCATTTACCCAAGGTTTGGTGTAAAGGTTATATCAAAGCCTATACAAATACCTCAAATACTTCTACAGTTGTATCATTTCATGTGGTCTTCACAAATATGTCCACAGTACCGGGCCAAGATTCTGCCTAGAAGAAAACTAGGGTTCAAACCCAAAACTTCCCAGAAACAGTTCGAGTCTTTCCATGGTAACATGCAACTTTTCCAGAAGAACTGTGTGCATATATGTAAACAGGATAAATATTACTTTCAGCGCCACTGTGAATTATTCAAAGTTTTAGAACAAGTTCGACCTGTTTTTAAATTTAAATACCTGATACCATTTACTGCATTTATCATCTTATGTCCACCACTATAAAATTTCGCAAGGAAAAGTATCTACCTCGTTATATTTGTTAAATGTATAAAGACCTCACTACCCAGAGCTGAGTCGTCAGAAAGAAGATATAAACCATTGCAGGGGAAAACACGCATGCATTTATTTTTAAGAATTCCCAATAAGGGGGGAAAATTCAACATCTTTAAAAATGTGTTTATTTTTTTTTTTTAAAAATCAGTTGTGTACAAAAGTGTTTCGTCGTTTTTAATTCTCAAGACAAATACCCAACCCTCCTCCCGGAGCCCACCCCCTTTCAATGGTATTTTTGGTAACCCACCCAGTCCCCCCTCACAGGAAGTTAACGGCTCAGAATAGACCCTCCCACAGAACCGACCATCACTAACTGCTGAGAATAGAGACCTAGAGGAACTACCGAGAGCAAGGTCCTTTCTCGGTGAGGTTAATCGAATCCCTACAGCGGCAGTAGACTTCCAGCAGACACCACGAGAAAGCACCATCAATTGCTGAAAGCTAAAAAATAGATATTATTTTCCATAGTTTTCCATTTTCTATTGGAAAAGTCTTTAAATTACATTAAATAAGTCTCTTCCCCCCTCCCCCCAAAGAAATAGACTACCTTCTATTATGATGCCTGTAAAAAGTAGGTCACAGCAAGCAGACAGGGTCATCAACAGCACAGTGCGACCATCTCTGCCCCTCGCCCAGCGAGCCACACTGAGCCCTTAGGCCACACCAGATTCCTTAGAGCGGCATGGCTGAAATGACCAAGCCAAAGGCGACAGTCACGACTGACATGGAGTGAAGATCGTGGGCCATGGGCAGGCAATCCAACAACAAAGCAGTAACAGAGCAAGCGGGACGAGGGAGACACCGACGCCCCCCACCTCTAAGCCACAACATCCTGGATCTGTGTTGCAAGAGTGCAAGTATAATGGGTGACAGAATAGGCAGATACTGAAGAAGAGCCACACTCGGGGAAAAGGCTATTTAGCAGTAAATCCTTCGAGTTGCCTTCTTCTTCTAACAGCCACTGGCTGCTAGCAAGCAGTTACTTCCAACCAGTACTAAAAGGGTGGGGATGCAAGTTTTAAACATCAATGGTTGGTACCCTGGACCTGAAATTCCTTGGACTAGAAAAAGCGCTTTGTAAAAGTCGATGAAATACAGTGAACCGTAAACAGCTTCCTTTTTCGCATCTGAACATCATTTCCATCTCTGCCTAAGATGGCGGCTCCAGCTCGGTCCACCTGCCTCTATCTGAAATCTGTCCGATGAGAAAAAGATGAATTCTTTCTTTCCTGTGTTGCTACACCGGACCGTGAACACGCGATCATACCCCCATCTGCAGAGTTTTGAAAGCTGCAAGGAGGCACACGCTGAGAGTCACGACTCGGTTTTCACACTGGTAAACCGGGCAGCCTGAGCAGGAGCACAGTGCGTTGCGTTCTGCAGTGCATAAGCAAGCAACGTCCACTTTAACTGCCAGCTTGTTCTTACACATACCTAAATTATCTTGCATAGTTTTAAGTGCCACCAACAATTGTAAATGTAAGGTATGTCTTACTTTCATCGTATAGATTATTCTCCTCGAAAGTACAATACTCGGTCTGCAAACCTTTCTCTATCCGGGCACACAGTACGTGTCTAAGAAAACCACAGTCCCAATTCTAAACATTGTGGGAAGCCGGCTGAGCCCTCTACGTGAGTAGCAAGCTCCTCAAATGCTCACTGTATTGCAGTGACTTGGGTCACAAACTGCTCCCACTTACGGAGTAATCTGCACTGAAATACTGTACAGTTAACTAGTTCTTTTAAAATAAGTTAGGCACATACTCAGGAAACAGGTCCGACTGCAGTAAAAGCCTATTAGAGTATCGACGACTTCCAGTGTATCTGCCCACCCTATCTGAAACTTCACTGCATTTTTTTATTTAACCGTAATTTTGAGGTTTCTTTAAATTGGCAAATCCTAAAATGCAGAGAATTACAAAAATAATTTCTGCCAGGGTACTTTTCCCCATAGGCCTGAACTTTTAGTGTCCTTTTTCCAAATGAAGTTAACACCAGAGGAAAAAGGAAATTGCCTCAGCTTCTATGGAGAATTAAATGTACCTGCAGAGAAGTGAAAAACAAAAGTGAAAGAACAGAAGACAGTGCCAAATGCCCCAGAAAGGAAAGAAAGACGATCACGTGAATGTAGATGAGGTAAACACATGTCTATAAGGACGAGCCCACGGTGGAGACTGCCTGTGGTTCCCAACGCCCACGCCCTGGGCACTGGGACTGCGATGGTGAGGCGAGCAGACAGCGCACAGCGCTCGCGTCCCAACAGCCGGGGCTGAACAGCTGCCTTCAAGAGCTAAGTGTGGGATTCGGTGACTTCTGAATTCTCAATATCCTTCCTCTGACCAACAGAGCAATTCAGTATACCCTGATCGTGTAGGCAAATAGTAAACAGGATAGGTTTGTTTGATACTTTTAAAAATTGCAACATTACTAATCTATTACTACCAAGCCACCCTCCGGTTTAAAAAAAATAATAAAAAATTCTATCCAACAATGGAGCAAAACTGTCTCCCATGCAACTCCACCTTACTTCAAAATATAAAGAAAAGTGTAAGGTTTTAGCTATTTAAAAATAAATAAACAAAAATCTTGTTTCCTTTGGCATCTTCAGAAAATAACTAAACTACAGCAATAAAAGGAAGCAACTATATAAAGAAATCTATACTTAAGGAAACATGGGGGGCATAGGAGCTTTATAGGATGTAACAGTATCAACTCCAAGACTTTACTGTTGATTACGAAACCCTTAAGTTTTTGGAAGAACCTTCACATCTTTAACATAACAATATACTTAATAATGGTTCTTTTATTGCTTCTAGTATCAAGATTATTGAGAAGTCAAATGAAGTTATGCTGACTTTATGATTCAAAAATCATTTTCCAAACACCTTAAAGATTATAAATTTAAAATAAATAACACGTAAAGAAAGCAAATCTTTTATAATATGACTTTCAATATACAGCCTTACTTTAATTCGGTCTGATTCCATTACATTTTTGTTATTTTGCATTGGTCCTGAAAATTTAGTAAGAATTATATTTCTATGTATAGAACTTTCTCCATAAATCCACTTCAACCTTCATAAAATGGTCACATTTAGTGTTTGAGCTTGCAAAACTAATTTTCAAACTTCTGAACTTAGAATGAAATGTAACTTTAATACAAATAGAAAGTCTAACTATGTACAAGAGAAGGTAAAGATTTCAATTCTCGTATTATCAGAAACATCATAAAGAAAGCTAGATTTATACCACACTTCTATCCCTATGTGCATCTGAAGTATGTACAGAAAACACCAACACAGCTTCCAGGTGTCAATACGGGGAAGGTGCAAGCAAGAGTGGTTTTTAAAGTATCCAATAACGCAATTTCTAGACAGCCTTACAGCAGGCCGGA